GTCTTTAAGAAAAATGTACTTGAGACGTTACGGTTTTTAAATTCCATTTTAAATTTGTAAGATAGGACCCTGACCTGATTAAATGGTGCTCTTGATCAGTGGCCTGAGAGTGACTAGGTGGTGATAGTCTGTCACATTTCAAGTAGGGTAGAATACTTTCACTTCCCTTCACAAATAGTTCTCAGTTGCTGGAACCGGTTACAATCAAAGTGTATAGCAAATAAACAGTGTAGCATCTTAGATCCTTTTTCTTTAGTGTCTTACAAATAATAGTTGTTTACTTCCTATTGCATGGTGTAATTTTTCTCTTTTTTTTTTTTCTCTTTCCCCAAAAAGGAATGTGCTAGTTTTGCTCAATTTCAAGGAAAAACACCCACTCTTCACTCTGAGTAAGGCATAAACTCAAGTTTGTGTTCATATAAGTTTTAAAACAACATCTGTTCTTTGTTGCTATGGCTTAAGATCTGTTAGGGGAGGGAGGATGGGCCATTCTCTGAAGTAACAGGTTCAAATCAAGTCAATATTGGTACCAGACACTGCTACCTAATAGTTTGGAATATTGCAGAGTGTCTTCTGTCTCATTTTCCTTATTGTTTTCTCTATTCTTCTTAAAATTTCCTGATTTTTATTGTTCTGGTCAATAAGACAGCAGAGTTGCTCTCGTGTTGCAGAGAATAGCAGAGACAAGGTGCAGCTTTCAGGCAGTGCTTGTTTTGGAAGTTCACTTGATCTAGTTCAGTAGAGAAAGCTCTACTTTTGTTTGTCTGCTTCAAAACCTGTATGCAATGGAGTCCAGAAACAGAGGACAGAACATACTTTAACTCGAAAATAAACACTGTTGAAATATTATTTCTCAGGATCATAAAAGTGCAATTAAAAGCTAATAGAACCATTGCACAGTACTAGTTTGCACAGTTCTTAGTTCACTCTTGGCCATCTCAAAGGTCAGGTACAGTGCAGATGACAGTCCTGTCTCTTATGTCATCTGGAGATCCTCCATCAAGCAGAAATGTGATTCTGCTTCCCAGAGTTACAGACTGCCCTACTTCCAGGGCACCGAGAATGTCAGTCCTGATGTCCATGCACTGGTGTCCCTGCATGTAGAGGCTTGTCTTCACAGTGATAATATTTCTAGATATTTGCTTGCCTTCTACCTTCAGAAGTGATGTTTGTGACCTATACTTCTATTTTCTCTTTGTTTTTATGGATGCTATGATGTCTTGGCCTTTCCCTTCGTTATTTGTTCCTGAGTTGATCGGTTATCTCTCGCTGTTGTTTTCAGCTGCATGTTCTCCTCCTTAACCATGTTGGTGTGATGCTGATTAGCGTGGACTGTAGTAGAACATCAGTAAATGGAAACTTTCTAATTGTGCACCTATGCAGTGAGCTTTTCACCAAGAGAATACATTAGTTTCCTCCCCCCATTATGTACAACCATCCTTTATATTTCTGTGCTATATGTAACTTCAGATTATTTGTGGAGAAACTCTCATCCTGTTGATGTGGGCAGTAGTTTTGTTCCTGTCCAAACTTAGTTCCCTTCCTTGGTGCATTTCAGCTGACGTCTCAACACAATTGAAGAAAAAAGTGCATGGAGAAGTAAACTTTCTGTTTCCAAAACTGCTTTCTATGCACCAATGCACGTCCTTTTGCACTCTTGCCACATAAACTGTCTTTGTGTCGTTTGCAGAGGCAGTTGTTGGATCAGGTTCTGATACCAGTTCTAGCACGATGATGTCTGTGAGGGGTGAGAAACCTTTCAGTGTTCTGTGCAATTCTAGTGGAGTGACTGTCTTGGTGCAGTCCTTTCAAGTCTCTCAAACTTGGAACAGTGTTGTAATTCCAGAAAGCATTGGTGGTGAAAGGTCCTCCAAAAGTGGTCATGTTCCTGAGAGTGACTGGGGAACAGAATAATTCATCTTCTGAGATTTGTGCTTCTGAAAGCAAGTTGAAGGAAATGTCAGTATGATGACTTTTCATCCTGGAGAAACTGTACTCCATCTCTGCTAGAATGTCAAAGTGCTGCAGCTGGTTTCAGCAGATGAAGACAAAGGACTCTTCTCATGCTGTCATAAGAAAGTGGCACAGACAAACTCTTTAGCTTGCTTTACTTGGGGTGTTATTCTTGAGAGAGGGACTGAACACTGCAACTGAGGCTGTGGGAGAAAGCTGTCTCCATGTGGCAATATCAGGAGAAGCACTTTCTGGAAATCGTTGTTAACCTTTTGCAGCTTTGAAGATTTGTTTATTTTTTAATTAAGGATAATTTTATGTCTTGCTCTATAGGGAGTAATTGTGAGAGAGTTTTTTTCTAGGATAATGCCATTAAGCATCCTAAAGGGACATAAAAATGGGATTAAGTGGATAGTGTAAAATTATGGTTCACACTGAAACAAGTACGTAATAATTCAAACTATATATCACTCAGATTTTTATTGTGTAACCTCATGAAAGTGGTAAAGGTTTTACTAATGTTATTGAATGTGAGTTTATGGTACAGTTTAGATGAGTGGGTTGAGTTTAGAACTTGATCTCTTTTTAGGACTATAACCAGCATTACAAATCTTCAGCATGTTACTGGAGATGCAGCATTTCACTGGGTTCCACTCTCTGTCTTCCTGTTCAGTTCCAAGAGCATGGCAGGATTAAATGACTGTTTTGCTTCCTAGAAGGATGTTTATGGAAAAACCTTCTGCTGACACCCTTAAAGGATGTGAGATGGTAAAACCTTTCTGGAGTAGTCCATCATGGAAGATTCAAATCAGTGGATTTCTAAGTGAAAAATTTCTTCCCGTTCTGAGTTCAGCACATACTTAGCTAGTATCCAGAGAAGTTTTGTGCCCTGAATCTCTTTAGTGATGCCCACTGCTTCATTAAAACTGTGACCACTCTACCCTAGTCTGTTTAGAATAGTTCCTGACTCCTGATGTCCCTAACAGGAAGGACAGCGTTTTGAAACTGTGTATGTTGAGCACAATTCTCAGCAGCTGTTAAGAAGAGCGATATGTAATGTTAACTTGCTTGAAAACAGTTTGCTGCTTTGACATGGCATACTCTCATTGAATAGACACTAACTCAAGTCTGGGTTTGCCTTACCTGCTGTATCTCCTTTCTTGGCACATGAATGCAGCTTCCTTACTGCTGTCTTAAGCTGTGAGTGTGATGTAACATTAGCACGACTATTTGTTCTGTTTGCAGTGAAAAGTAGTACAGCAAGCTTCAGTTCAACTCCTGTGGTGCATATTGACTCATTGGTTTGTTAAGGATTCTGGTACTGTCTTGCTTAGTACACATTATTGAAATGGAACTGATCACAAAAGTAAGGTTTCTCTAATAATCATTTTGTGTGTTTTTATTTTATTTTTAAAATGTATTAGGATAGCTTGTAGATTCCCTCAGGTTTGCAAAAGTTGTCATGTGTACTTCAGTCCACACAAGAAAAAATTCTGTAAGCTCTTTTAGACTTTATGATCTCCTAGTGATTTCAAGTGATCTCTCTGCACTTATTCCAACTTTGCTTGATCCCTCAAAAAGATGAATGATAAGAGTTGAAAATAATCTCATTTTAGATGAGATTTCATCAGTGTCTTGCATTGAGAGCATTAATGTTGCCCTGACCCAACTAGGTGAATTTTGTTTGTGTGTACAGACTCGTAGGATTGTTGGAATAAGTCATAAATTTGCTTTTTAATTTATTTAGTGTTAGGGTTTTTTATACTTGTCCATCCTTTGCAGAGGAATGTCTTTCAAAAGCTTTGTGTTTTCAGTTTGTTTTGAGTTGTTGAGTTACTGCAGTTCTGTGAATGGACATTAACTACACATTTTGGTACTAGTTTAGGGAGCACGTGTCTTGATAAAGTTTCTTAAAAATGTCAAACCAAATGAGAATTTCTGTAAAATGAAAAAGTTAATGTCAGCATCTCCCATCCAAACTGAGGAGTTTTTCTCTTTACTACCCTTTAAACATACAGTTTGCCTAGAAGTTTCTGTTTGAGGCATTCTTGTAGTAGCCATGCCAGCTTCTGCAGCTTCTGCTGCTTGATGCTGCATCCTTAATTGTGCAAGTAAAACTGCTTATGCAGCTGCTCATTAAATTGGATCAGGGAACTGAACTTGGTTAGAAATAATCAAACTTAGTTATTTTTTTGTCTTACTGCTTTTAACCTGGATCATTTGAGTGAACGGTTTTGCTGAATGGTCTGCAGTCATATAATTGCAAATGGATGGCTAATATTATGATAGGAATGAAAGATGAAAAATATGGCAACTGGTTAAGGCTTTCTTGTAGCAGCTTAGAAAAGAAAAAAAACACAATAAACAACAACAAACCAACCCTCCTCATTTCCTTTATTTAAACAGAGCTCTTCACCTCTCTGCTTAGAAAAATGTAGGTTAGAAAAGAAAGTACTCCAAGTGCTATAGATTTGTATAAACAGAACCTTTCCAAACTGCACAACAAATGAAACAACTTTGTAGCACCTTAGATTTTTCCATACTTGTGAGTTATGCAGATTCAAGGTAATTTCTGCTTGATAGTAGTGAAGAGTCTTTAGTAATCCTGTGTTAAAATCATGAGCAACTGTTGGAGCTTTGTTTATGTCATCCCAAGCACCATAAAACCCAAGAAAATGAGAGTATTCAGGGTGCTAGAACTAAGGGATGACCTGATTGCTGTCTATACTGTGTGACTGGAGATTACAGACAAGGTGGAAATAGACTCTTTTCAGAAGTGCCCAGTGATACGATGAAAAATGTTGTATACAAACTAGGTGGGCTTCATTTGTTATTCTGTGATTTTATACCTTCAGGTACACTGATGGCAGCAAGAAAATTACTTTCCCTTGCTTTTCAAGTCAAATACAATGTGCAACTGGGATGTCCTCTTCGTACTGCTTATTTAATTCATCTGCTAACTTGTTTTTACTGAAGGGTGTAGTAAGATGACAAGAATGATGTTTCAATGTACTACATATCTGAAATGATTTTTTTTTCTTCCTCAGCAAATTTGACAGGCCATGCAGAGAAAGTTGGCATTGAAAACTTTGAGCTCCTGAAAGTTCTTGGAACAGGGGGTAAGATGCGCTATTTTTACGTTAAATGTTGGAAACATTACTCTTAAGTATGATTTTGTTTTCTAGCTGAGATTTTGGTAATTGGAACATTCCTTAGGAAGATACCACTTTTGTATTCTTTTTCTCACAAATATTGTGCAAAATTGGAGATCGCATGTTACAGCACTTGCAGCACTTTTAAAGATACACTTCTTTAAAAAAATGGAAGAATATTTGTGAGAATTTAATATAGTTTGTGAAAAAACTGATCTACGGTAAGGCATGATCTTGGTAATTTTAATAAGTTTTCAAACAATGTTTGGGAAAAACCCAGTAATGTTAGTAAACTATTGAACAGGATGCTCCACTCTTTACCTAATCTGTTTTAGAGTTGATGTTGGCTCCACAAGTCTCTCTCTGTCCTAGTCAAATCCCAGTATTTTTGGGGATGAAAATGTTCATTGGTGTATTGTGGATTTCAGCACATTGTAGGATGTTGTAGGATTACTGACTGTAACCAGCAAAAAAAATTTTATTCCTTTGCAAAAGGGACGGACAGAGGCTCGTGTACAGACCAGAAGTAATGTCTTTTATTCTTTTTAGGTTGTTTATGCTTTTTTTTTTTTCTTTAGTCAGTATTAGCATCATAGGCATTGTTGAGCGGATTGGAATGATCATGTAGGTGGACTATCATCAAGGTCTATAGAAGTTTTACGTTAGTTATATTAAATATTTGGGTGTTATTAGGCATTAATGGGTGTCAGTGAGGCTATAATTGCACAGATTGCTTCATCACTGGAAAGAGCATAGGGTTTTGATTTTCAATTTTAGCTGTCGTATAGATTCTGTCGTAAATTTATTAAGCAGTTGAATCACCCAAGAGTATATTTTTCTGTTTCTAAAGTAAGGTTTTTTTAAAATTTAGATTTAATATGCTTAGTTTTCAACCCTTGTTGAGTTTCAGTAGTTAGAGGTAGAGGCTTTAATATTTGAAGACATTCATAGTTAGAAGCAACTATATTTTTCTGAGTGGGGTTGCCAAAATGAAGTTATAAATCATGCATTTATGTGAAAATGTCTTTCTCTCCTGCTGTGGAAATATTGGCTGAATTTGTGTTTATATACCTGTGTGTATGGACATGAAAACTTGTCCTTTTTTGTTACCTCTACTATTAGTCTGAGATCACCCTAATATTACAACAATTGCATTTGGGGTACAAAATAAGTTTTGGTGGTTTCTGAGTGTCAGTCTTCAAGTTCAGACTAGTAGCCTGACCTACTGTCTTTAGGCAGAACCTCTGAAATACCCTATTGCTGCTGTTGAACTGCTGTCTGTGATTCATAGCTACTTTTCATGCCCTCTCTTCTTCATGAACAGATTGGTCAAATTTCTGTTAGCCTGGGATACTCTTAACCATAGCAGGTAATCCATAGACTCACAGTGCAAAACTGTGAATTATGCACATGTATAATTCTCTCAGGCTAACAGGATAATTTTTGAGTGATCCCTTCCAGAAAAGTCTACTCCAATGGGCTCATAATGGAATTGACAGCGTGTGTATGTGTGAGGTAAAAAAAGAAAAAGCCGACGAAGCATGCCTGTCTGACTTCATCCTGCTCTAGTAGTTTTGTTGCTCCAGAAATGTCTTCTGTCTTAGTTCTTGAAATAGTTTGATGTCTACTAAAAGATTCCTGCTAACTTTAGGACTCCTTGGGTATTCTGGAATGGCATTTGTAGGAAGAGTAGTTTTTGTGGTGTGTGATGGTTTTTTGGTTGGGTTTTTTTTTCCTGCTTCTTTAGTGCGCAATTTTAACCACAGCCTGAGGTTCTTTCTTCAGAAATCTAAATCATCAGGGCAGCCAAGAAGCTTTGTTCAGCTTCAAGCCTATCACAGCTGAGACTTGTGCACGACATGTCAGAGGTTGCGACTTGCTAATTATTAGACAGCATTAAATGCCAGTGACCTGATCAGAATGGACCATTTTTTTTTTTTGCTTTTTGGGGAGTGACCATCTACCAGTTGTCATTGTTTGCAGGAACATAGCATAGCTGAAAGCAAGACTGGAATGGACTCTAAGAGGTCCCTTAGTTGGTTGACTGGCCCAAGACACATTCAGTTATACCTGCATCATCCCTGATGGGGGTTCACTCTTGAAAACCTCCAGTAGCGGAGATTCTGCAACCTTCCTAAGATGTTCTTGCTGAGGATGTTTAATTTTCTAACTTGAGAAACGTTCTGGGTATTACTATAAGCAAATAGACAAGAATTATCTTTACTCTGGTAATGAAAACTTTATCCTGGTCTGAGGTTTTAGGTATTACTGCTAGTACTGTAATATAGCTAATGCTAAATAAAACTGTGATGCTGTTTTAAAATGTTTCGCTGTGGAGTTATGCAGCATGCAGTGTCTTCAAACTGATAATCAACCTACAGTAATGCAAGGCAGAACATATTGAAACCCCACAGTTACATTCAATGATGACTGTACGCGCTGCTTAAACTAATTGCAATATTTTTAAGTATAGTCTGCTATGAAGCAACTGGAATAACCAAAGAAGATATGGAAATCATGTTAAATTAAATGATACTTTGTTAAAGTATATGTAATTGTGGTAGTTTCTTACAGACTCAGTGGTTCTTTTCAGGTAACAGCAGTGAAAGTTTATTTAAAACTTCATTTTTAAGCTTTATGTTTTAAAAATAAAATATTTAAGATTATTAGAAATAGTTTCCATGTGTGCTGATGTTTTTCCTGTGGAAACAATTTTTTGTGGTAACATTTTTTTCATACTATGCCTTTAGCATAATTTCATACTTACTTTTTCTTTAATTTGAATTGATTTCTTACATTTCTTTAGGTCTGATTTCTTCTTATGCACACTATCTCAATTGGAGGCATGTTGTTATGTTTTGATTTTTGGTATTAAAATAGTATCACAGTATACACGTCTGTCTATTGACCTGAATCTCGCAGAAAAGACAAGGAAGCAAAAGTCTGAGTTATATCCTTTTAACTGCATTAAAGGGATATTAATAAATAAACTTGAAGAAATCAGTAATACTTTACATCAGTAAAACAAAATACATGACAGTATGCCACTCCTACTAAAGCTGTTAATAATGGACTTGTTGCTCTGGGAGCACATAATTACTTGCTTGACTTCTCTGACTTGCCTGTGTTGTACTCAGTATATTCTTTTTTGCAATTGCAATCTGGTTTTGTTTTCACTTAAGTCCTCTTCTCCTTCTGTTTCTGTATAGCCTTGCAAATACGGAATTTTCAGATTTCCTGTCCCCTGAATTCATGTTTCCAGCACGTCCCTCCTATCTAGTTAAAGTTTTTCTCTCTGGGACATAGCAAACCAGTGTATATCCTACAGAAGAAGAAGGTTACTTTTCAGCAATCTAATTGCTTCCCAGAGCAGGAAGGGAACAACAGGAGAAGGTGGCTGTGTTGATTTATGCACACCCACTTGGCGTATTTGCTTCATCCTTTGTAAATATGTTTTTAAAATAACAAAACACTGTCAGAGTACATTCCGGGCCACGCATTTTTCTGTGGATAGATTATTCCTTTTTTTTCCTACTTAACTTTAATAAATGCCACTTTCATTCACTCTTTGAACTGCGCTTAAGAGACAATACAAATGATTCCTGAGCATGTTCACTAATAATCCGGTCCACCTCTTGAACTGCTGTCCATGAAGACAAAAAATAATGAGAAATAAGAATCTAGCTGCCACATATAAAAGAGAGTGTTTAATACATGACTTCTCTGAATTAAGTGCTTACATGGGAAGAGTATTATCCTTATATGGGGAAGTTACTTAGAATCTGAAGGATTTATTGCTATGAAGGGAACAAAATAAATGGGATGAATGTCATATTTAAATAACCATCTCAGAAATCTTGTTATACAAGAACATAGAATGAAGTTTCATCTAAGAGGTCAGAAAGTATTCTGATGAAGTAAAGACTGTAAAATGGAAGTTAGTTTTTTCAAAGCATATTGAAGAAAATATAAAATATTCTCTCATAAAAGAAGGAGAAAGAAATGTGGACACTGTGCTTAGGAGTGTGAACCAAAATTAGTGAGTGTTTAAAAGCAATTCCAAACTCCAATTAAATATTTTACTTCAATTTCTGCTGAGGACAGCTAGGATGTATCCTCAACGGTAGGTGGGGTGACCAGTTGGAGACAGGCCTTGGAAACAAAGAAATTATTTTTCTGTATGAAGAAGAGACTGAAAAGAGGGAACTGTGTTCAGTCAAAGAACGTGGACAAATTTGTCTTATTCACTCATCAGAGAACTTTGAAAGAATCTGGACAATAAATTGCAAATAGTAGCAAAGATTCCTATTGGAAATAATGGCAGAAGTGGTTCAGTATAACTGGAGAGAATAGCAATCACAATCCTACACTTAAGAAGGGAAGAAGAAAATAAGAATATGATCCAGGCAGCTCTTGGTTATTGTTCTGGCTTCATCAAACTTCAACAGTATGCAGTACCTTTTAAACAATTTTGGAAGAAAAATATTTACTTTAATTTTTGTAATAATTAAAAATTAATGCCATGCTTATCCAGCGGTAGATTGTCTTGCACATGTGAGCTGCTTTCTCAAAACTTACGTGCTTTAAAAAGAAAAAAAAGTTAGGCATGTATTGCCTGCTAGACCTATTTATTGTAATAACACTTTTTTAAAAAGGTGAAAAAGGAAAAAAAAGCAGCAAAATGCTGATATAAAGCATATTTTAAGTTGCAGCTTACACTCTCCTGTCACTTTTTGCCTTTCTTATTAATAGTCATCATTTGCTTCGTTTTTGACAGTTTGGTCATAGACAATTTGGAAATGTTTGTTCAGAATGCTATTATTTGATATTTATTAAGATTTTTGCTTGGCTTTTCCCCTCATTTTTAGCTTCTAGAGCTATATGCCTTTCTAACTTTGCCACATGCCAAATTTCAATTCAAATGCCTACACAGTGAGAGTTCTCGCAAATTCCTTAGGAAGATTAAA